AGTTTCTCAGCAGATTTGGGCTGTACTCAGCAAGCGCAGTACAGCCCCCAACTCAGATTTGAAACAAAATCAGTACATGGTGTTTTCTGACTGGTCGGCAGACCACCGACCGGTGGGCCCTACTGGTCGGCTGCAAAACGGTCCGTGGTCGGGGTCTGCGGTCAGGAGGCATGCAACCTTGCTCGTAGGAGATAAGACCAGCACATGCGTCATCCAAGAGGAGATGGAAAAGGAGGGATAGCAATGGCAAAGAATCATAGCAAATGAACAGCATCAGATGCATCCATGTAAGTGACATCACGCTTACCACCAGTAAAGATTCTCTGTTGAAACTTGCACAATCATCAGTCCATTGCCCCCTGCAACAAATAGCAAGCAATTCAATCAAGGTCATTGAGACATGCTCCAAGAAGATGACGGCTTCTTAGCATTGTCTGAGACATCTGGAACTCTTCGGGGCGGTCAGGGCGGCAGGGGGTGTATGAGGGACTATTGAAGGCTTTCAAGGACATAACAGATAGAGCCATGGTAAGCATTATCATCGGATCAGGAGGAAGGGGAGGGTACAAAAAAACGAAGCTTTTTGGTGTGGCGTTGTTCTACTGGGGAGCTGGCTTCTTGGGACATAAATCAGTTCAGTGAACCTATATATATTCACTGGTAAGTTATCATCAACATAGACAAAATGTTGCATACAGGAGCCCTTTTTTTAATAATATAATACTCCTTTAAAGAGGGCCACCAGCCTAGCTCAGTTGGTTGAGCATGCAACCGGTATTCAGGAGGTCACGGGTTCCATCCCCCATGACCGCCTGCGGCGGGCTTGGTGTATACCAGCTGAGATAGTTGGCTTGCTCTCCATGGCCGGTCTTGGCAGGAGCCTGGGTTCCCTTCACCCTTGCTCCAGCCATCCCTTGCTGGGGGTCAGGAGCCTAGGTACAACTCCCTGCATAGAGTAGAGTAAATAGACATAGCCTGCCTTCCTTCGGTGCTTGGACAAGGAGATTTGAAGTCTGTTGGGCCTGTTTGTGTCTCGGATATGTGGGTAGATACCGCGAGGTGAGTAGGTGGCTAGTGTGAGGTGAAAAAATTGAGAGAAGAACATAGCTTAGTTATAGAATAAAATATAAAAAATTCCTTACAGTGAAGGATGGGTTCCCTGTGACACTATGCAGAGGCACTAGAGGAGGCAAGAATAAGTGCATCACTGCATCTGCATTTGCACTTGATGGTTGGGCGAAACATTCACACAAAAGTGTGCAAAGTCTCCCAAAGCAAATATCCACCACAGTGGGTGCAAGAAACCCCATAAAGTGCACTCCCTTCCAGCCCTCCCCCATCCACAAGAAAACAAACACCTCCCGTTGTCGGAAATGTTTTGGGAGGGTTCAGAGCATACTTGTGGCGCACTGGTGCGGTGTGCCATGCGCCTTGCACCTTGCGCATATTGGTGCTGCGCTAATGATTTTTTTTTTTTTAAGGTGGTGTGTGTGTCTATATAGACAAGAGAGAGAGAGAGAGAGAGAGAAGGCAAAGGTCCTCTTTCACATAAATCAGAGGGCCCCTGCAAGCAACAAGGAATCTGGGGGGTCCCTCCACTAAGTACACAAAGGTCCTATCACCGAGCACCGGATGGGCACCTTATTTGCACGAGCATGAACAGGCCATGAATATATAGTGTGAATTTTGAATCCAGGTCCATGTTTTAGCAGTTACCGGGCCAGGCCCTGTTGGGCTCTGCACGTGATTCTCAGAGCTTCTCACTGAATGCGCAAAACTAGAATGAATCTTCCGCTAGAACATGGAACCATATGCCGCCATATGTTTCGGCGTTTGTGCATGTAGTGAGTAGTGGGCCGGGAGTTAGGGCCACTCCACATTCGCGTGCAGAGGCCTGGCCTAGCGAAGTTAGTAACCTATAGCTGCTACACAGACCTTAATTCAAATCCAGAGCATATATTATCGGCCTGCTCACGCCCTGCTCATACTTCAACAACCATATCTGTCTGGTGATGAGCTCTTGCCAGTTTTCTGCAAGGGTCCTTTGGAAGAGAGATTGGACTCGAATAGAACATGCATACACAGTTTTTGGGCTTGACATGGCCTCAATGTTTTTTTCTTTTGCACTCTGAATTTTTAGAAGGGAGGGGGCGTGTTTGGTCATCACCCCCTGCCCTTCCCGAATTTTTTTACTGACCCTTATTTCCAGGATGCGCCGCATCACATGCGTGTGTGATATGCACCGACTCGGGGAAAAGGGGGGGGCGCAAGTATGGTTCAGAGCAAATGGCTAATTCGGATTTTGGGGTCCACCCAGCGAACAACCCAAATGCAGAGGCACTAGAGGCAAGAATAAGTGTGCATCTGCATTTGCATTTTATGGTTGGCGGAAACATTCACCCAAAAGTGTGCAAGCATTCTCCTGAAGCAATTATCCACCACAGTGGGTGCAAGAACCACAGCGCACTCCCTCCCAGCCCTCCCCCATCCACAAGAAACGCCCTCTCCTTACCTTACTGCAGGATCAGGATCAGTATCACAGCTTTTCCTGGGAGTACCAGGCAGATTCTCATTATTCCAGGATCCATCCAACTCCATGATACCAGCACCCTCATTAGCAACACAAACCAGTGGTGCTCTTCCTATTCGTGCATCCACTGCAGCCTGATGACTGTCTAAAAGCCAAGAGTCACAACCAGACTTCTCCTCCGCCCCTTCTCCATGACGTGCAGTGGCCGGAGAAGCTTGACGGGTAATAGTTGACAACTCCTTCATGTCAGCATCCTCATCCACATCTTCACTTCTATGGTACTTCTCATCACGTTTACGTGTCAGAAAATCCCGTTTGGGTGAAAATCCACCGATGGATGCAGTCTCCATTCGGTTCTGCAACTGATGACACGGGGAAAGAAAAAAACGGTTCAGAAAACAACCACCAAAAAGCAGCATCGTCATTTCATCCAACGATGATGTCCTTTGGCAAATACACTATAACCTTTTCTGCTGCACGTGACCACAACTACGACCAGATTTGTTTCAGAAAGTCCGGGTGTGAAGATGTCCATTCGGTCGTTTGTTCATTTGGTCGTTCGATCATTCATTCATTTCTCCATTCATTCATTCATGCATGCATGCACGAAGAGAGGGTACGTGGGTTGGAGTGTCAGAGCAAGGAACAAACCGACGGGCAGAGGGGAGGAAGGGGCAGAGGCAAGGGCACAAGGACAAAGGAAAGGAGGGAGAAGGGAGGAGCAAGGGAGGAGGGACAGGGCAGAAGGATGGGTACACAGATGCAAACGGAGGCAGGTGGGTGAGAGTGGGGAGAGAATGGAAGGCTGGACGCAAAGGGAGGGAGGGAGGGAGGCAAAGAGAGGCATGAGGGGCGGAGAGGAGGGAGGTCCTAAGGCAGGAAAAGAAGAAAGGAGGAGAGGACAAGGGGAGTTGGAGGGACGGGGGGTGAGGAACTTAGGAAAGAGGAACGAGAAGGGGAAAGCAGGCAGGAGGAGGGAGGAAAGACGTTGGGGATGAAGAGAAGAAGGGGACGGAAAGGGGAAGGGGAATGGAGAAAGGGGGGAAAGGGAGAAAGGCAAAAGAGGAGGAAACGGGATCGGAAGGGCAGGGAGGAGAGGAGGAAAGGGGATCAGAAGGGGACGGGAGGGAGGGAGGTGGGCAGGGATGAAAGTGGAAAAGGGGGGAGGAGAAGCAAAGGAACTGACAAAAGGATAGAGGGAGGAACAGAGAGAAGGAATGGAGGGAGGGAAGAAATGGGAGGAGGGAGGGCTTAGAGGAAAAGGAAGCACCAAACATGGTGCCATGAGGATGATAAAAAATGAAGAGGAGGACAAAACCAATGATAACAACAAGCAAGAGAAGCAGATGAAAGAGGAGGACCGAGTAAGAGGACCTGGACCAACAAAAATATGTGTCTTCTCCTCGTCTCACTGCGCCCGCCCGCTMCCCCGACMCCCCGCTGTGCCCGTCCGCTGCCCGACGACCGCCGGCATCGACGAGGTAAGAGTGTCTTCTTCTTCTTCTTCTTCTTCTTCTTCGTCGTCGTCGTCGTCGTCGTCGTCGTTGTCGTCGTCGTCGTCGTCGTCGTTTGTTTGTTTGTGTGTGTGTGTGTGTGTGAGAGAGAGAGAGAGAGCTCGCTGCCCATTCAGGCAACTTTTGTGCGGCCCCCGCTACCCCCTCTCCCTCCTTGTCATCATCATCTTCTTCTTCTTCTTCTTCTTCTTCTTCTTCTTCTTCTTCTTCTTCTTCTCCTCTGCCTTTTCTTCTCCTCCTTTTTCTTGTTCTTCTTGATATCTTCTTCTTCATCTTATCTATGTCTTCTTCTTGTTTCTTCTTCTTCTTCTTCTTCTTCTTCTTCTTCCTCCTCCTCCTCCTCCTCTTCTTCTTCTTCTTCTTCTTCTTCTTCTTCTTCTTCTTCTTAACAAGTTCCACGCTCAGCAAGCCGCCATATCCGCGACCGCTGAACAACCAAAAATAAAGAAGAAAAGAGATCGACAAACGAAGGAGACCCGACTTCAAGCCCCAGTAGGACCGGGTGATTGAGAGAGAGAGAGAGAGCCGTGTGTGTACTGTGTGTCCCCGACTCCTTAAACCTCCCCCTCCTCCACCATCTCCCCCACAGCCCCCCCCCCCCCCCCCCCCCCCCCCCCCCCCCCCCCCCCCCCCCCCCCCCCCCCCCCCTCCCACAACCAACCAACCCCCAAAACCCGACAGCACCAAAAATTAAAAACACCCGGGAATCTGGCCCCTCTCCCCAAGCGCAGGACCCGCTGACCCAAAAAAAACAAAAAAAAGTTTTTTACTATGCGACCGGGTGACCAGGTCGTGACGCCCGGGTGACCGGCCGGTCATCGAAATCTTCCTAGCGTGTACCATGGTGGTCACTGTATAGTCGACCTTTGCGCCCAGCCGTCATGCCAACTTACAAACACCACCAAACACAAACAGAAATACTAAAGTAGTGCCTGGTTGCCAACCAGTAAACCAGGAATAGTTAACAGAGTGGCAAACTTAATACTATTATAATAGTCCGAAATGCGGCCAAGAGTCATCGCTTAACTCACTTGCTGCAACAACTGCGTGGACTTCAGTTGAGATGCCTCCCTCTCTGCTTCTCTTGAAGCAAGGCGCCTCTGAAACATCTGCCACTGTCACATGCAGGACATTTCAAGTAATGAGATCTTCATGAAAGGAAAATGAACAGAAGCGAGATGACAATATTCAGATTGCACAATCACATTGAAAGCCAGATCGTATCACAGTGTTCCGAAAGTAGCATTGCACCAATATGACACCAATGGAGAATGGTAGCACTGAAATCCAATGTCAATGACAGCTTGCTCTCGCCACCACCAACATATGTATCCAGTCCCTATCTCCCTACTTGGCGCTCGGCGCCCAGCCTACTCCACACACAGCTACTACTAGCCTACTAATTGACAATGCAACTGTTGACGTCAGCAGCCTCCGAAGTACTTGAAGATGTCGCCCATGCAAAACCATCGCCAATACCAGGTATGTGCCCTCACATCATCATCATCATCATCATTCTCTCTCTCCCCTGACTCTCTCCCACATCTTCCCTTGTTGAACACCCGAAGACCACCCCTGCGCCTCACTGTACATCCAAGCCCGCCAGCTATGGATGCTGGGCTATGGCGCTGCCCTCAGCAGCGCCCTGCTCCCTGCACGACCGCATGTGCTAGCACCTCGCCTCTCAGCGCTAGCAGCAGCCCACGAGCTTCAGCTCTAACAGCACTGCCGCCAGCATGCGAGTGCCCAAATGCCAGGCCAGGGAGCAAGCTCTTTCCTATATGGAAAGAGCCTGCCTCATTCGGCAGCCTGGCTGGACTGGCCTGGGCCCAGAAGCTTCTGGTAGGCCCCAGGATGCTGCGCCTCTCTTGCAGCTCCTGGGCCTCGTTCGGTTGGGCCTCCCAACTGTCTGTGTATGCGGCTGCGATTCTCGTCCAGGGCCTGCATCATTTTGGAAAGGCCTGGAAAGTCTCGCTGCTCGGCCTGTGTTCTTCTCAACCAACTGGCGCGACGAAACTGCCTGGACCCCAAATACAAAATTGACAGCCGAGGGCCTCTCTTGATTTGTTAGGCCCGCCTTCACTTAGGGCGGGCACAGACGCAACAGGGCCCCCCTTAGGCCTGCCGAGGGTCCGAATCCTCGCATTCAGGATGGGGGGCTGAATCTTACACACGTAACCGTCCAAAAACAGATCATGACTTCCAATCCTGATGGACAAAATAATTTTAGGGACATATCGTTTTGAAAAAAAAAAAAAAAAAAAGGTGGGGGAGCAGTGGCAGGAGCAATGCAACAGAGAAAGGCATAAGGGCCTTGTTCGACACCACTTGAAAATACTTGATTTTCAAGGGCACCCTAACTCACGGAAGGTGATTAATTTCCCCTAACTTGTTTTTTCGTTCCACAACCCCTTGACGAAACCCTTGAGACAGCCGTCCTTGAAACTGAAGTGCTGACGTCATTGCACCACGAACAGTGGTGATTGGTGGGAAAAAAAAGAAAAAAGAAAAAGGTCCGTATATTACCCGTTTTGAAGGGTGAAACCTTTGCGCCCCAAGTGACCTCCCGAGGCACCCTTGGGATTTTCGTCGATTTGCCTGGGCCGCTCTTCCATTTCAAGGGCGGACACTTGGCCGCGAGGATGTGGAAACAATTAGAGACTTCAAGGGTGTGTGATTAGGGCAGGGTCGAACGACGCTTCCTTGAAAAACAGCAATTTCCAAGTGGTGTCGAACGAGGCCCAAAGAGTAAACAGCTTCATGAATTTTTTGCCCCCGGAATTTGAAAATTAGAGCTTCATGAAGGTTAGATTGCTGCTTATTATATCTTTTGTGACTTGTTCTTTGACAATCGACTTCAGATGCTGGTAAAAAAAAAATGAAAACAAAATCAGAGGGAATGTAGTATAAGCTGGAAAACAGGTCCAGTGTCATTTACATAGGTGTGCCCACCCTACGCGTCCCTCGGTTATGGCTGAGGAATCCTGCGACAAAAGCACTGAAAGGATATACCCCTGCTCTGCCCCTGCAGGCATCACTCCCAGTACGTGTCAGGGCCGAGTCAGTAAACACACATTAACCAGACATATGATTGTGAGTGGAAAGAGAAAGCGAGAGAGATAGGGACAGTAGATGGCATAAGTCCCAGTATGTGCCTAATCGATCAGGTCACTATAGCAGACACTCACCAGAAATATGATTGTGAGTGGACTTCTTTTCTGGATTTTCTTTGCACGATTCAGTGCCCTTTCCGTAGTTGTCCCCTTTTGTTGTGCTCAACAACAACCAGATATCCCATGGATGTCCTTCAAGGGTGTTGCCTACTTCAGGTGAGTTGGTGTCCAAAGACAGAGCTTCCAGTGACCTTCGAGGACCTGCATACATACATACAGATGCTAGGATTGCAGGGTTGATGCAAGTAAAGTCTACAGTTCTCTAAGGGCATTGCTAACATTGTGCAATTTGGTGCCTGAGGGCATTAACCAAGGTATCCTCGAGAGAGACTCGAGGTTCAAACCACCTGATGAGGTGGTGAAAATCTGACAGGTCTGTCTGACACCATGGCATTTTCTTTTGCAGAGTTGTCTTTCTCAAATACACACACACACACCCACACACACACACACACACACACACACAAACACACAAACCTCCGCCTTTGCTCTGCCTCCTTTCATAGTGTACAAGTGGGCCGTTATGGCACACAGGGACGTGGGCAGCTCGAGCTCAACCACAATAGATGTGGCGAGCCTTGCGCATCAGAGGCACGCTAAAAGGGGGAGCTGCAAGAATCAAATGAAAGGTGAACCCAAAAGAAAGCAAACATAAACAGAAATAAGAAAGGGGTTCACATGCCTCTATTGAAGTTCAAGTTGCTTGCTATAGAGGTGAATCTGTTTCATTGTTGGATTGTCTCAACTCAGGGCTTTCGTTGTCTGTAATAGGATTGAATATACGTTGATTTTGGATCTGTTCATCTGGGTGGAATAGGGGCTGTTGTGGTGAAAATTCAAAACACACACAAACACAACGACGCAAACACACCAACGACGAAGAATCACAGCCACCACATATTTTAGTCGCTCGTGCATATGATCAAGGCTTTCAGTTGAGGAAACAGAAATCCATTCAGGAACGACTTAGTTAGGGGCGGACAGCTGTAGAGACACCCTTTCTCTTGGTATATCCTGCCTCTTGAAAAAGGGGCTCACGAATGCACTGCCGATAGCAAGGCCCACGCCCCATGAACATAGCACCAGTGGGGTCTACCCCTAACAGTCCTAGAGTGGAGTGAGAGCAGGGTGACAAAAGGGGCCCTGGAGTCGAGTGCCACCATGCGACAAATGTATAAATGCAAGCCTCTGCATCATCATACCTGTGTCTCAAGCTCTTCAAAACGCCGAGAAATATCAGCCCTTGTTTTAGATAACCCTTCCGTCCCTCCCACCATTCCCCCGCTCTTGGACTTAGGCAATAGCGCTCGACTGCTCATTGTTGCACTAGCTCTGCCTGCAGACTGACTCCTTTGTGGCCATCCACTTACAGTAATGCCTCCCGATCTTGTTTTGCCTTCCACATGCCCGTCAACAACAGCATCACTCGATGGCCTCCCCTGCTTCCCTCCCTCCCTTTCCTCAACTATACCACTACTGTTTTCCTTCATCAAAGCAAAAGCAGAGCCAGAACCGCAGACAGGACCAGAACTGGAAAGTACATCTGCCTTAGATCTCAGCACGCGCTCCAACCCACCAGTTCGACACTTGGGCAACAGATTAGTTGACCTATCAATTCTGACTGCAGTGGTGGAATTGTTCCCGTCAAGGTGCAAAGCTCTGGGCGCGCCCCCAATTCCAGGTCTGTTTTTTGTTCCAGCCTGGGACTCCGCTTCAGATGCGGCCCTGGTTCCAGTTCCACCTCCAGGTGAGGTTCCCATTCCAGTGCCAATGCCAGATCTGATTCTGGTTCCAGTTCCAGTTGCAGATGGGGTTTCCACTCCAGTCCCCATACCAGGTCCAATTCTGGTCCCTGTTCCATTTCGAGGTGCGGTTTCCGCCCCTGATCGGCCTGTGGCTCCAGTTCCACTTGTTGCTGTGCCATCATCTCTTGTCTTCCCGGTTTGGTCCCCTGCATCATTGTTCGATCTTGGAGCTGTTGCACCTGCAGACCATACATCCATGTCTTCACCTGACGATTATGGCAGCCTGCTTAGCACTGCCATTATTTGCTCATTCAGCATTCTCCTATGGCCATTTACTACTACTGATCAGACAAGCAGCAGATGTACCCGCATCCTTTATTCACCCGGAACCTTCCAGTAAGGAGTCCAGTCCCTCCTCTGGTCTTGTGTTTTCCTTTTCCCAAGGCACAGTCCCAAAGGCGTGCCGCCATCGTCTCTCCATCTGCAGCCAACCACTTGAGGCATGCCTTACACCTTCATCAAAACCACCTCGACAAGTCCTAGTGCTTTGCTTGAACAGAATTGGTTGGATCCTATAGGATGGAATCTGGTACTTCCACCTTCCACTCATTGTGCCCAGTCATCGAATTCATCCTCCACCACACCTATGGCATCTCTGTCGCTTGCCGATCACGAAAATCCTCTCCTTCATTGTTCGAACTGTGTGCCAAATGGATGCTTTCTTGATCGCATTTCAGAGTATCCGCTTTTGTTTTCCTGCACCCCTCCTTTCTCGTGGTCATCACCATATGCCTAAGAGACATTCCCCGCTTGCCTTTTTGCCTCCGTTTTTCAAATGCCCGGTAGTTTGTCCTGCGCCTAAAAAGTGGATTGATGGGTTCCATTTCACAGTATCTTCCTTTGCCATGGCCATCACCATCTTCCTGAGATGAGTTCCCCCTCTTCTCTGTTCTCCTCCCTTTTCCAACCTGGTAGTCTGTTTCCTGGGCCCACAACACAGGGGTAGTGAAAGCACTGGTTACAAAATTGAAAATACCACAAAATATGTCAACTAAAGGTTCTTTTTTGGAGGTGAAAACACGCTCCCTTACAACAATAAGGTAATACAAGTGGACCCCGCCACGGCTACGCCGCGGCGCACAGCAACACTCACTGATGGCGTCTCATTTTTGTTTCATGTCTCTCTCTCTCTCTCTCTCTCTCTCTCTCTCTCTCTCTCTCTCTC